GATGCTCGTCGGCGCCGCGCCGTGGCTAAGGCTCTCCTTCGGCCGCATGCTGGTCCCGACCTGGTTCACATTGCTGTTCCAGCGGCTGCCGCCCGCGAGTCGAAAATCCCGGCGCTGGCGACGGGCAACGTGCGCGAGCTTCAGGCCAAACCCGGGCTCCACAGGCGCAGCGGTTCCGAGCTCTGCGCGGCGGCTTCTGCTGGCGGCCACACCACCCCACAGGAGGAGCAGGAGTTCGAGTTCTGGAGCACGGCGGGCCACACCGCTCGCCACAAACGCCGGACTCCATCACCATGGTCCCCCTCTTCGTGCACCCCTGCGCCGCCGTCAGCGACTGCCTCGCGGCCATCGCTTGCCGAGCGCATCAGCTGGGCGGACACTTTCGACACCGACTTCCCCGTGCTGCGCCCGTTGGTCGAGGCCTCGCAGGCCCATCCAAAGTGCAATGTGGACAACCCTGCGGGCGATCCACGTTCCACCCATCCAGGTGCGGCCGACCAGCCCTAGTCCATCATCAAGCACGCGACCGTCTCCTCCGATTCGGCCGCGACCGCCACGCACAGGGGGGGGGGGGGTCCAGAGCCTTCTAGTCCGTCCGCGAGCCTAGTTGGTTTGGTCCTACAGAGAAAAAAAAGCCACGCACAGGGAGCTCGACGCGCTTACTTTTTGCAGCATCTTCCACACATTCGAGAGGCGAACCCTCGACAAGCTAGGCGACAAGCTTCTCGCGGTTTTCCAGCTTTTGTCGGCCTCCCACGCCAAGCAGCTGCCCACCCTGTTCGCTACCTCGATCAAGCCCGTCATGGACTCCTTCCAAAGTCAGGTCGCCAAAGAGATCAACGACATTCGCTCCGAGCTCAGCGCCGCGTACGACTCGCACATCCTGGCCTTCGACATCCGCCATATTGCTGATGAAGTTCACGCAGCTGCAGCTGACGCACGTCGTGCGGAAGGTGAAGCTCACGGTCGCCTACAAGCAATTCGCCGAGCAGGTGACGAAGCACGCCGAGTGGTAGAACTCGTTCACACTGTTGCTGCTGCTGACGTTCGCTTCTCGGTCGCAGAAGCTCGCTCGCATCCAACTGAGCTGCAGACGCAAGTCACCCAGCTGGGGCTGCGCGTCAACAGCCTGAACAAAGAAATCCTGAACACATTCGACCAGAGGCTGAAGCAAATCGACATGGACACCGAAGAGATGCAGCAGCATATCGACTCCATTGAGCAGCACGTCCAACACCTGCAAGGTCACGGGCCGCTCATCGACTACCGCGACGGCTCGGGGCACTTCAATAGCTACTTCGACACCCTCTTCGCGAACACCAAGAGGTGCGACTGCTGCACCGACTTCGAGAGCATCCTGCACACGCAGAAACCGTTCATACAGCCCGACACGCTGAGCGAGCCGGACGTGCTCATGCCGAGCGAGACCGACGAGCTGCTGCCTGACGAGATGTTCATGCCGTATGGCCCTGACCTTCAGCCCGCTCGTGGTCACAACCTGCCCGACCCGCTGAGCGAGTCCGACGAGCTCACGCCGTGCGAGACCGACGCGCTGATGCACGACGAGATGTTGATGCCGACTGGCCCTGACCGTCAGCCCCCTCGCGGTCACAGCCCGCGCGATGTCTGCTGGACTCCTTCGGGTGGCCGAGTGCACGTCGACGTTCCTCATGCTGCCGATGACCGTCCCACTGATGGCCGGCATGATTGGGCTGTTCCTGACACGCCGTGCCTTCGCCGCTCGGACCTCATGCAGTTCCGCTGCTGCTGTACGTCACTCGCTGCCCTTGCAGATGGTCTGGTGTGCCGAGCTCTCGCGCTGCAACCTGCGGCGTCTTCACCACCAAGTACTACATCCACTTCCGCTCCCCGCGTGTCAGGCCCCGTGCTCACCGCAGCACTCGCGCTGCCTGTGCGCTCGAGCGGCGCTACTGTCCCGCCTTTTCCTGCTTTTCAGAATGCTCTGCATGACAACAACAAAATGAAGCCTACGAGCGCACACTCCTCGGCACTGGCCGCGTCGACTGGCGCAACCACACAGTTACAATACTAGTAGCAGAGTTGTAGCGCAGCTGGCAGGGAGCAGGAACGAACATTTTGCCCTCTTCTCGCTTCTTGTCCGCTTGCCCTCGTCTCTTCTTCACACTCCTCCTCCTCCTCCTCCTCCTCCTCCTCCTCCTCCTCCTCCTCCTCCTCCTCGTCCTCGTCCTCGTCCCTCCTCCTCCTCCTCCTCCTCTCCTCCTCCTCCTCCTCCTCCTCCTCCTCCTCCTTCCCCTCCCCCCCCTCCTACCGCTACCCCCTCCACCCCCTCCCCCTCCCCCTCCCCCTCCCCCCCCCTCCGCCCGAGGCTCGAGGGTCTCCTCGCTGCACGCCTCCCCGCGGGTTCCCTCGCCGGCGGGCGTGCGGCCCCAGTCGCCCTCGGGCACGCCGAAGGCGCCCACGGGCAGGGCCGGGAGAGGGGCTGCAGGAGAAGGGCGACGGAGGTGATGCTATGGTGATG